GCAAAATTGATGTAATTACAGATATAAGTGGTAGGAGTTTTTTTTTTTTTTTTTTTTTTAGAATCCAGCGGATCTCCTCTTTAAATAAGAAATGATAAGATGAGAGAAAGAGGCAGACAGAAAGACAAATAGAGAGAGAGCGCGAAAGAGAAAAGAAGGGGGGGAAAGAAAACACGACTGCCTGCCTTTTTATGCAGAAGGAAACGTCAAGACGCGAGAGTCTTCTATATACAGGTTATTTTCCGGTCCGTTTGGGAGCAGCTACAGGAGCGTGAGCCATCTGGTCGCGCCTCCTGGAACATTATGGGCCTCTCCCCGTCCTTCCCCTCGCACCCCCCACTTGGCTCTCCCCTCGGCTGGATATGCCGCCGAGGGGAAGGGCAGGTCGGGCCTTCTTCGCGCGTGAGCTTCGGCCTCTAAGGCTCTTTCTCTTACAAGTTTACCGATAACAAGGCGATAAAATATGGTACGGGAGTAAGCTCTCTGATTCTGATAATTTTTTCGTGCTTTTTTTTCTCTCTTTCTTTCGATTCACTTTTATTTATCACCGTTTGAGATATTAGCTTAGAAGGAGAAGGTCGAAGGAAATGAAAGATTTTTTTTTATAAGTAATGGAACTGGGAGTCGTCGAGAGGTCGTGTAGGCCATTAAGAATAGATGGGTGGAAGCTTGAGGATATGGGGGCGGGCGGGAAGGGGTGGGGGAGTGGGGCTGATGTGGGGGTGTGAGGGTGGAGCGACATTGTAGTTAAGCGAGGCGGATAAAGAGGGGAGTGGTTGGGTTGGGTGGTCGTTTAAGGGGGAAAACAAGGGAGATGTGAGGGAGGAGGGGGAGGAAAGGACCATTGTACCTCGAGATTGTCCATAAGATCGCAAGCAGCTGTAGGTGTCGGGGGTGATGTGGTGAAGGGTGGCGTGCAGCGTGCGTAGAGTTCGACACGAGGCAGCTGGGAATTTGTTTGTGCTGTTGTGATGTGTGCATGTGCGTGGTTAAAAAGTGTTATGGAATTCACGCTGGAGGATGTTTGAGATAACGAGAAAGCATCTCCAAGGTCCTGCATGGTGCTGATAAAATCTGGGAAGGGTTTTGAACGTGGACTCACGTGGTTGAAATGGAGAAAGTTACATTACATCTTTTATTAAATCTCAGTGATGCAGCAGATTTTTGACGTGTTAAAAGACCAACCATTACAGTGCTGAAATGCTTATTAAAGAGAAAAGAATAGCTACTCGAAGAAAATTATCTTGAAAATCAAAGAAAAGAAAACAAAGGAAAAAGCCCATGTTCGTATTTTTTCCCCAAACGTACTATGAACCATCAAATCTCTAGAACATCGAACCCGGTGATTGTTTTCGAAGGGAATGCTAACAGCAGTGAAATAACGGTGAAAATCTGACTAGGAAAAAGTTTACCGAGCGCGGGAAATGGAGAATGTTGTGTCATTTCCAAGTTTCCAATTGGCCTTGGAAAGACGAGTGACAAGACCTGTTAGTGACGGTACGCTGAACCTGTATCGCATGCCGTGTGATTCATACTCACAAACGCGTATTTCATTTTATGTACACAGACGTGTCCACACATACTCACGTTTACACGCACGTGCGTAAAGGGGTAGACACAGTTTAAGCAAGCAAACTTCACACATGCATCCACGTACATATCTAAATAATGCTCCAAGGTCAACAAACAAACAAATGCACAAACACAGACACACGCACAAACACAAACAAACAAATCCACAAACACAGACAAACAGACACACGCGCAAACAAACAAATCCACAAACAAAGACAAACAGACACGCGCTCAAACAAACAACAAACTAAAGAAATCGCAAACAAGCAAGAGAAACAGACAGACACGCACAACCTCGGGCGAGGGACATCATAGGGAGGGAGTATTTTAACGTGATTTGACAGCTACTTCTCCTATGATCTTATCACTTGTGGAACACCGTAATCTCCCCGCCCCTACGCCCACGGGGTTGGGCTGGAGTTTATCTTGAAGTGTAAAGTGCTTTTATCTTGTATGATGAATATTAGTGTTTTTTTGTTTTTTTTTTTGGGGGGGGGGTGTAGTGGAGATCGTGTTTTTGTTGCGTTTACATTATTTTTTATTATTTTTTTCCCTTTTTATTGATTATTTAGATCTCACTGGTGGTTCTTGTATGAAACATGCGTTTTCGACCTGATAGATTGTTTGATATTTAGAATATCTTTTATCTCCCTCTCTCTCTTTCTTTTCTCCCTCTTGCTCTCTCTCTCTCTCTCTCTCTCTCTCTCTCTCTCTCTCTCTCTCTCTCTCTCTCTCTCTCTCTCTCTCTCTCTCTCTCTCCTCTCTCTCTCTCTCTCTCCTTCTTGCTCCCCCCCCCTCTCCTCTCTCTCTCTCTCTCTCTCTCTCTCTCTCTCTCTCTCTCTCTCTCTCTCTCTCTCTCTCTCTCTCTCTCTCTCTCTCCTCTCTCTCTCTCTCTCTCTCTCTCTCTCTCTCTCTCTCTCTCTCCTCTCTCTCCTCTCTCTCTCATCTCTCTTTCTCCTCTCTCTCTCAAACTTTTTTCAGTGATTATACATATGTGTTCTTTTGTTTGCCTGTCTCTTGATTTACTGATCTGTCTGTTTATTTAACAATCTATTTATTGTTCAGCAACTTCTGAAAGATGTAACGTTATCCCCTTAATGTTATATACACAGCTGTAAACAAAGCCGTAATGAAAGCAAAAGAGGAAAGGGGAAACTTCTCGTTATCTTGTTTGAAATACCATGAGTCATATTTTTCTTAGAAGAGGAAAGTCTCTGTCTGGCAGATTTTTTTCGTTTTCCCAATTCTTCGTTTATTTCCTTACGTGGGGTCATTTTCTTTTCACGTTAAGTTCGGATGATTTGATAGTCATTCGGGTGCATCCTGATTTATTTTATAGAATTACAAGAATGGGAATTTATTTTTCTATTGTGATTAGTGCTCTAATAATTATAATGGTTTGTTTGCGGGAATTTTCTTCCAAAGTCCCTGTTGGATAAGTACAGTGTGCGTGTTTGCATTCATTTACGAGATTAGTTTGTCGTGATGCCTTTAGTACAAGAGGACATGCAAGGTCTATCTGATGGATTATGATGCATCGTGGTAAATGTCGATCAAACATCAAGACGTGTTTTTTTTTTCCTTTCTTTTTTTTTCTTTAAGAGCGCGATGGGGTCTGAGTTCTCGCCTTTTGGTCTTTTGTATTGTGGATACATATTTTGATGGTTGAAAGTATTTTTTTAATTAGTTCTCGATTCTTCCATGTTTTGAATTTGTTTTTCTTTTTTGTACGATATTTAAAGGAGAAAGTGTTAAGAAAATACATACGTAAATGCTAAAAATAACATTAATAATGAATATGAAGATTGTGTAGATGAAATTCAGAAGATTGCATGGCTTCTAGGCCGAGTTAGTGAGACTTTATAGTGTGGGCAAGTGCGTATGTTGTGTTTGTTAGTATGAGGATTCTACCAACGCCCATCCCGGTCCCTGCTCCGCCCACATGTTGGCCCCGCCCTCACAAACGGCTTCCATACGCCGGGGTGGCCAGAGGAGGCATCTTCTGAATACATTGCAGCCTCTTAAGTTCACCCCATTGACAGCCGATGCTTCTGCCGAGGAAAGGTCAAGACCGAAACAGCTATCAGGTCAAGAATCCAAGACCGCCCTGCGAGCAGTTCCCGGACAGAACGGCCTGAGGACGCCCCCTTCGTCCTCGTCCTCCGGAGTTAAGACACTGAAAACGACGAGGGATTCCGTCGCCGCGCGGCCCCTGGACAACCCGCCTCCGCCGAAGCCTCCTCGGAAGGTCTCGGCGGCCATCTGCTGCAACGGCAACAACAAGAGCCCCAACAGCCCCGTCGGCGGAGGAATCCCCTCCCCTGTCCTGAACAAGAACTTACAGTGCGGCAACACCGTCAGAAGGTCTCCCACCAAGGCCCACGCCGTTGTCAACGTCAACAACAGAAGGTCGTACACGAAGAAGAGCCCCAATGGGAACAGGAGCTTCCTCGTCAAGACCAGCCCCAACGGGAACACCGGGATCCCGTCCTTCGCCGCGCTAGACAACAGCCCAGCGGCGCGACGAGTTGCCTCGAGAAGGGGCAGCCCCCAGTACGAAAAACCGCCGAAGCCCTCGCGGAGATCTTCCCTCCAGCAGGCGACTCCTCCCAGCGCCCCGCAGAATCTTCCGACCTCCAGCAGCGCCCCCCGTTTGGCGGCGCCGAGGAAATCTCCCCAGCCAGCGAAAACTCCCCTCGACGTCCCCCCACACATTCATCATCCTTGCTTCAGCCATATTTTACCGAGCAAGTCCAGCACACGACACGACGCTGGCTTCCCCCAGAAGGGAGCTATAAGGCGAGAAGACGCGGGCGCCCCTCGCCCGGAGAACACTGCAAATGTTGTTAGCGCCGACGGAAGTACCGACAATAACGGAGACGCGAGCCATTGCCAGGGGTCGGGGTCGGGGTCAGGGAGAGACGAAAGTTTTCCTCAATTTCCTGCGGGACGCCGAGCGATTCGTGGAGGAGGGGAGGGGGACGACGCCACTTTACGTAATGTCCCCGACGATTCCCAGGAGACAACGGTGACGCTAAACGTGAGTGATACTATTCGGCGGCGCATCCCGAGGGCGAGCCTCAACTTGGATGAGGCGACCTTCGACGGAATTTCAAAACAGGAGGCCAAGGAAAGCGATGCTGCAGATCCGGCAGAGGTGGCAATTTCTTCTAAGCAACGAAGGGTCACCATAGCAGAGTTCGGCGCCCATCGTGAAATCGGTTTAAAGTCGACTCCATCTCTGGATCCAATCTGCCCGCCTTTTAAACCGACCCTCAGTTCCCGGCAAAGAGCAGGGAGATGAAATAGGAAGCAGTTCATCAATAAACCAGGAAAACGTGCTAGAGTGGACATCACTAAATAATATCGGGCCGGAGATCCCTTCTCGGGCCATCAATAATTCAGCGCTTGGAGCACCCTCAGCCATGGGCAACAAACAGCACAGGGCTTTGGGGGCGGAGGACGAGTTCGACGCCGCCCTCAACTCGTCACATTCAGGCACTCGACGCAAACGAAAATTAAGGAGCGCTGCCGTCCACTCCAAACACGCAGGGACGTGTGGCGAGGGCGCGGAAGACGAGGCGGATAAAAAGCCTCGCGGAGGGGAAAAGGTCCAAAAAGTCCAGCGCGAGAAGCATCGGCACGCGCCACCTCCGGCCCCAAGTCCCGCTCCCGCGAGTCCGACGAACTCTTCTGGAAAGTCCAGCGGCGCCCACGCCGAGAGCCTTAGCACAGACCCTTCCTCTCAGCCCTCCACCTCCTCCTCTCCTTCGTCCTCCTCCTCGGGCGCGAATCAAAGCCCCTCTGAGGTTTCCGACAACCATGAAATATTGCCGCCGCCCGAGAGACGAGCAGAGAATGAACACGGCGCCCGGAATGATCCTTCTTATCAAGCGGCGGGCCTCGGGAGGGGAGGACAGCGGCGCGTGGGGGAAGAGATAATAGCGGTTATGAATCAGGCGCTCCGGGAGGGGAAGGGCGAGGGGGGCAGCACCTTACTGGCGAGGAGGGGGAGGAGCACAAGGAGAAGGAGGAGGAAGAGAAAAATCCGTCCTCCCAGATGCTGCAAGAGGCCCAGGTCGATGTGTCCTTGTCGACCCATATGTTGCAACCTTGTCAAGATGAAAGCAGTTGTGACACAGATTCCGACTCGTGCTTGGAAAACACACAAAGCGGAGGAGAAAGTATCCGAGATACAAGCAGCGCGCATGAATCAAGCGGAGAACTTTCATCGGTTCCGACACCACCAAAGGCTGGAAAGCCTCGCAAAGATGGTTTCTCTCGGCGCCAGCGGAAGACTCGCGAAAAGCCAAGAGAATGTGAAAGTTCCGAGATCTTAGAAGCGGTGAACGAATACGAGGAAGTGGAGGAACTCGCGCCGTGCCTGCGAAGCCCGAAGCGCATCGCGAAGGACGATCACATGCAAAGGGCCGGGAAAGCGAGTGAGAAACGGCGAAAGCGGGAAAGTGTGGAGCTTGTGATTTCAGAGATTTATCAAGAAGAGGATTCCTTCTGCACGAGCTATCTCGAGGAGGAATTTAGCGGCGATATCATAAAGGTAAGTTGCGCTTATACTCTTCATTTACGACATTTTGCTCCTTGCTAATAATACATGAAAACTTTGAGAAAGCAAATCATTATACAGTTAATTTACGCACGCAAACATACAAATTCATGATCCACAATTTCCATTTGTTCCTTGAGATCTACATCCCTAAAGTCTCAGAACGTAAGGTGCCTTCGTGATAACTTCGGCATTTCAAAAAATAGATATTTAACATTCCGCGGTACTTGGTTCCAGATTTCCGTGTGATGAACCGTGATGATGAACGAGTTATCATTTATGCAGATTTTTGGAAATAGCTGCACAATATACGGTCTGCCTGGTAATGGAATCAGCGACCATAGTTCTTTCTTAAATATAGTACGTCTTTAAATCGATCTTACCCTCTGGATACTAAAATATGTCGCTCTTAAAAGTAGGTCGTTACACAGAAAAAAGGGTTCCATAAGAGATATGGGTCTTCTTTTGTCAGTTTTTCACTGGTGAACTGGTAACAACCACGTTAATTCTTACACGTTAATTTTCACATTTTTAATTAATGAATTCCATACCTGTTCACATCTATTCTTAAATACATATACGTAACTTTTCTTCACTAGAATCAAAATCAGGTTTAACCCTTTATCCCCATTTCTATCAAAGCTTCCCAGACCAAAAGCTTCCCAGGGTGTGTTTTCCAAGACATATCATACGTCAAGGGCGAGAGTAAGCTGTCCGGAGAAGCTGTTTATGTTGAAGGAGCCGCGGCTTTTGGATTGATTTTTGAGAAAGGATAGTTTGCTCTGGAAAAGTCTAGACGCTTGGAAGGGATATAACTCTCTCTCTCTCTCTCTCTCTCTCTCTCTCTCTCTCTCTCTCTCTCTCTCTCTCTCTCTCTCTCTCTCTCTCTCTCTCTCTCTCTCTCTCTCTCTCTCTCTCTCTCTCAATCTCTATCTCTTCTCTCTCTCTCTCTCTCTCTCTCTCTCTCTCTCTCTCTCTCTCTCTCTCTCTCTCTCTCTCTCTCTCTCTCTCTCTCTCTCTCTCTCTCTCTCTCTCTCTCTCACTGTGTGTGTATACCAATTAACACACACAGACACACGTGTGTGTGTGTGTGTGTTTATGTATGTATGTATGTATGCATACATTCATAATCCATTCCTTACATAGTCTGACTCACGAGCTATTGAATCTAAATAATCTATCACGGCTTGATTGAAAGGTTTTGTTTTTCTCTCGGCGCTCTCTAAGGAATATGAACGACCTGACCTTTTAAGGAGAAATAAGGGTTTTTTCCCCTATGGGAAACTCATGTCGGCTTAGGGGAGGGGGAGGGGAAGGGGAAGGAGAGGGAGAGGGGGGAGGGAGGCAAGGGAGAGGGGAGGGAGGGGTAGGGGGAGGGGAAGGGGGCGGGTGGGTAGCTTCAGGCCATTAATCTTTTGCTTCTAGAAGTTTCATTTTTATTCTGGATTTCGATTCTGTCTCATATTTATGGCCGGGGAGTCTATGTTTTTTCCCTCTCTTTCTTTCTCTATTTTTTTTCTTGGTGAGGCATACAATCTTGAAATTACGTTTTTCTCATTTTGTTTTCACCTTGTTTTTGATTTTTAAAATTATCATTGCTGTTAATGTTATCATTAGTAGCAGCAATATTTTTTTTTGTCATTATTACCATTATTGTTGTTTGTTGTTCTTATTTTCACTATCATTATTAATTCACTTTTGTTGTTACTGTTGTCATTCTTATAATCTCTACGGGCTAGCATTTACGTCACAATGACGCACGTATGATTCCCCCCCCCCTCTCTCTCTCTCTCTCTCTCTCTCTCTCTCTCTCTCTCTCTCTCTCTCTCTCTCTCTCTCTCTCTCTCTCTCTCTCTCTCTCTCTCTTTCTCTCTCCACTTCTCTCTTTCCCTCTCCCTTTCTCCTCTTCTTCATCTCCCACTCTCTGTCCATCTCCCACTCCCACTCCCTTTCTCCACTTCTCCATCTCCCTTCTTTCTCCTCTTCTCCATCTCCCACTCCTCCCCACCCCCTCTCCCTCTCCCTTTCCCTTTCTCCACCTCTCCTTCTCCCTCTCCCTCTCCCTTTCCCCACTTCTCCATCTCCCTCTCTCCTCTTCTCCATCTCCCTTCTTTCTCCTCTCTCCGAAACGCGCAGTAGTATTTCAAGGTATGATGTCACCGTGCTATCGAAACACACCTCCCTCGACCCTGGTACTGTAGTCCTCATAAGTTTATTTTATGTATACTCATGCTTTTTAGAATGTGGATATTTTTTGAGATATTTACATATATGCACATCTTTGGAGTTTTTTTTTTATAATAGATATGTTGGATTTTTCGTGCACGGTTAGGTATTGAAGGGTGTGAAAATATTTCCTAAATCAGGATGCACCGTTTTCTAACCGTTTCTACTCGAACAGTCAGAAAGTTTGCAAAAAAAGATCAACTTAACCAACTTAGCAGCTCAAGTGAACTCTGTAGGTTAGCTAACAAATCTAATTTGCAGCGGGAAGGTTGCATATATATCCTCTCCTATCCCCCGCTTCCCCGTACTTCCATCCGTAACTGGAAAGAAAAAAGAGAGAGAAAAAACAACTCACAAGCGGCACCCTAACTCAGAGTCATCTATCTCCGTCTATCAGCCGACGAACCAATAAGACAGGAATGTAGATGAGTTACAATGGGTCCCTCGACCTTAAAGGGACGCACGTGTTTCCGCTGGCTCGGAGCTGCGACGATTCACATTTTTATTCGACAGACAGAATAGATTTTTTTTTAAGTTTGTGAAATAACAGTTCGTGTTTTCTTCGTCTTCTCTTATATATTCTCCTTTTTCGTCTTGGGTTTGCATTGTTTGCAATATAGATCGCTGTGTTGTTGTGTTGATCGCGTGTGAGATTAAAGAGAAAGGAATTTGCATCGGTATAGACGTATACATATTTTGATCGGGTGCTGTGTTTGCATTCGTGTGTATTCTGTGCGAGTGAGAAGGGACATGCATGCAGTCACGTACGAAAAAAATACACATGGCATAGTTACAATCGACTGAGAATTATTCTCTAACGGTGACTCATAATGAGAACAAATACTCAGAACAAAAGTAATATAACAAGAACAATAAAGAAAGAAGAGACGAACGAAAGAACAAAAAAATCCCTGATGCAAAATTGCTTGAGAGAAGTTAGGAACATCCGGGGAGTTGAGAGAGTCCCCTCGCGTGTTCTTTTTTGTCAGATTACTTAGAGAAGTTAGTTCAGGAGGGCCGCGCGGGGGCGATGGCGAGGGAATTTGTTTTGGCGAGGCTTCTAGATTCTTCTCGCATCCGGTTATGCTGTTTTGTTTTTTGGGAAGAGTTGTGTGCGACGTTGAAAAAGAGTATTGTGGTAATATGCATTTTTGTTCGTTATGGCAGGCACGGCTTTGTACCGTGACAGATGTCTGCTTTGGAAGAATGACGCAGAAGGTGAAAAGTGAATAGATAAATGCATTTCTAGCCTTTTTATACCGGCAGGTTAGCTCAGCTCCAGTGCAACAAAAAGGCGCATATCCCCGTGTAATGAGGCCACACTGCTACCAGTCGCATCAGTACATGCAAGACAGAAAATGATACGCTGCAATATTTCAAGCCAAACAATTACAAGCCAGAGTATTGCAAGCAATACCTTTGTAAATTAAACCATTACATGCCACCACACTGCATTACATACCTCACCACTACAAGCCACACCACTGCAGTCCACACCATTGCAAGCCACACCACCACAAGCCACACCACCACAAGCCACACCGCTACAAGACACACCAGAGCAAGCTACACCACTGCAGTCCACACCAGAGCAAGCCATACCACTGCAGTCCATACCAGTACAAGCCACATGCTACAAGCCACACCATTGCAGTCCACACCGCTACACCACTGAAGCCCACACCAGAGCAAGCCACATGCTACAAGCCATACCACTGCAGTACCGTCACAAGCCAGGTCATGCCGACGCAGTGGCGCTTCTCAGTCCAGCTCACTGACCTCCCTCTCCCTTCAGCCTCTCCCCGGGCCGAGACAAGCGCCGAGCAAGAGCCGTTAAGTTCAGCAAAACGTTAATCTCTCATCTCCATATGTTACGCGGTGCCATCACAGCCTGCGGGGTTTTTTATCCCTCCTTTTTCCGGTCTTCCTCCACTTTTTTCCTTTTGTCTTCGCCTGCTAGTTTTTTATCCCTTCTTTTCCCGTTTTCCCCATTTTTTTCCCCTTTTGTCTTTGTGTCGTTGGGGAGAAAAGGAAGAGAATATTCCCTGTGCGAGCGGACGTGTATACTTGGTTTTTCTCTTGTCTTGAGACGGTGATCTTGTCTTGGGATTGCTTTCGTTGTTTGGAATCCGTTATCTTTGTTATCTTCATTTTGTGAGTTCCTGCTTTTCGCTCTGCAACCTATTCGCTGTCTTGCAGGATACTTTTTTTTTTAATCTCTCTCTCTCTCCTCTCTCTCTCTCTCTCTCTCTCTCTCTCTCTCTCTCTCTCTCTCTCTCTCTCTCTCTCTCTCTCTCTCTCTCTCTCTCTCTGCATGTGTGTGTGTGCGTGCGTGTTGGCATCATTCACTTTTCCGAGCGATGATATTGTCCCTTCTTTCCTGGTTCTGATATTTCTATCCTTTCAGAGTTCTTAATTCCAGCGAGGGAAGAAAAGACCGCCCGAGATAGTCGATATCATTTAGCGTTAATGTTTCCCACTAATGTTAGCGGCGGCTTTTGTCTTGGGGGCGATAAGTGCGTGAGTTGTGTTTCTGTGCGCCGGGATGAGGGCCTTGTGCTTTAAGTTAAGGAGGTCTTGAAACGAGGCATGAGAGCGCTAAACTTTTGATGATGACGAAAGCTTATTATATATTCTGCTCCATCATGATCTGGAGTCCTCGCCCTCCCTTCTGCTCTCTTATCAAATTCTCTCTGTCTGTCTCTGTCTGTCTGTCTGTCTGTCGGTCCCCCCCCCCCTCTCTCTTCTCTCTCTCTCTCTCTCATCTCTCTCTCTCTCTCTCTCTCTCTCTCTCTCTCTCTCTCTCTCTCTCTCTCTCTCTTCTCTCTCTCTCTCTCTCTCTCTCTCTCTCTCTTTTAATAGTCTCTTCTGTTTACCTGTCAACGAACACGATCTACTATTCCATCTACATTATGAACTAAAATCTGGTTAACATTGAACTCTGAACCGTATAGTTTTTTTTTCATTTTCCCTTCATCTACATTATTTTACACCATATGATTTTATCTTTCTCCATGTCTATTTAAAGATATCTTCTGTTTTCATTACTCGAGTTTCAAGTTTTATCCATCTTACTTTATTGCTCATAACTCCTTCATCCTCTTTCATTATTCCATCCCTCCTTATACTCACCATTCTCTTTCTCGTATTTGTTACATCCTTCATCCTCTTTTGTTATTTCATCCCTCCCTTTACCCACCATTCTCTTTCTCGTATTTGCTACATCCTTCATTCTCTCTCATTATTCCTACCTCCCCTTTGCCCACCATTCTCTCGGTGTCCCACTCCCATCTTCGTCCGTAGACCGTGGAGGCCCAAGAGACTCTACGGAACGTGAGACTTAAAAAGTTATTCGTCCCCCTTAAATCACCCTTGATATCTCCTTCCAGGTTAATCGCTCAAGTTCTTAAGACTTTCTTAATCGAGGAGGACGGAGAAAGCAAGGGCGATAGAGCACAGGAAATTTAGGAGACAGGGGGAGAGGGAGAGACAGGGAATAGGGAGAGAGGGGGATAGAAAGGGAGGAGGACAGAGGGGGAGAGAGAAATGG